GTCAATCCATAAACCGACTACAATTTTTTTATTTTTAAAAAATTTAACACAAATGAAAAAAAAAATCTAATCTATACATTAATTAAAAAATTGTAATAATGGAAGGAAAAAAAAAAAAAACTTATCCAACCAATATCTTAAATTCATAATTATTTAATTATTTAAAGTTCGGGAGAAAAAAATATATAGAGAATAAAAATGAGAATAAATTAAATTATATATTAGTTCAAAATAAATTATTCTGGAATCTTCTTGATGCAAAGCAAAAATTAAAAAATAAAAAAGCCAGAGAAAATCAGAAAAAAAAAAAAGAAAAAAAAAAGAATCGGAATATAAATATGAGAAATTTAATTGCATCACGCCAAGCATTTTTCCTCTTTTTTTTTTTTTTTTTTTTTTTGTTTTAANTTTTTTTTTTTACTTATCCATTAGAGTTTTGGAGTGAATTGGAGTGAATTTTCGTAAATGCCCTTGATTTTACTTACATAAATCGCATTAATCATAAAATTAAAACTTTATCCAATTTACATGTAAATTATTGGCATAATTAAAAGTTTAAATTTATATATATAATATTGGTATAGTTTATAGAATTAGTTTTAATGAGTATTTTTTTAAAAAAATAAAATTTGTTAGTAAATTAAATTACAATTTCAATTCTTCAAATTTTGAGATTTGTTTATTTCATTTTTAAATTAAAAAAAAAAAAAAACTTTAATGTTAATATTTCAATTTGGTGTCTAATAAATTCAAAGTGAATTAAACCATTTTTTAAATTCTGTTTATATAAATTTAAATTTCATGAAGGAGAACTTATTAGTTAATAAGTAATAATTAATATGATTAATTTTTTATTTAACTATTGAGTTTGTTTAGATAATGTGTTAATTTATTCATTAAATGCTAAAACAAAGAGTCAATTGACGTAAAGAGTAGTTTTAATTCTTAAACCAATATTTATATAATTTTAAATCAGTTAAATCATAATTAAAAAATGATTTGATTGTGTATTTTTTATTTTGTATTAATTTTTTAAAACAAATAAAGCTTAGATAAATACTTAATAAAAGAGGCCAATAATAAAGACACCTTGGAAATTAATTCTAATAATTCCAAGCCAATTTCTCAACCCGAACCCTATTTCTTCTTTTTTTTCGATTTCACGAACATTTTTTAATATAATTTAAATGACAATTCTCAAATGCATCTCACGAGATTGGTATGAGTACTGTAATTTACGAGTTAACATTACTAACTCTTCACAGAATTATCAATTTTACATCGCCTATTGTTGTAGTTATTTCTACTTTTGATGTTACCACGATAGTGTTTCTTAGGGTAATCAAGATTACGTTTAATAACGATATTAAATGTCTTTTAATCAATTATAAAGTCAACACGACCACTTTTGTCAACCATTTGAAAAATCAATAGAAGCGTACAAAAAGAAACTTATTAGAGCATTACAAATGCAATACTTTTAAGATTAGGTTTAAGATTAATATAATTTAACGAAATAGAGAGTTTTAAGATTAAAATTGATACAACCCGGACACATTTAAAGTGTCTATTTTTTTTTTCTCAAAGAATAATAGGCTAATTTTAGGCGTAATTAATATTGGGAAAATAAATGTAAATGACTTTGGGTTTCCAAAGAGGCAGAAATGAAAAATAATTTCTCTCATCTTTTTTGGGTTTATGTAAAAATACAAATATAAAATTTATTAATTTAAAAAGTGGGAGAAAATAGTTCATATAATTTTTTTTAGCTTCATGATTAAATTAAAAAATAAAAATAAAAATTCCTATATGAAAGGTAAATTTCAAACTATTTTAATAATTACTCTGATTATTTTTTTAAAAAAAGTGTACAAATTTCAATATCTTGCCCGACACGCATAACCGACCCAACAGCGGGCCCAGCCCAACAGAAATAACGGCCCAATATTTTAATCACAAAGGTGGGCCTTTAACATCTTGGTCCTCACGCAAGAGCAAATTGTCAACAATTCTCATAATTTTTAATTTTTTTTTTATGACAAACTTTAGCTCTTGAAGATAAGAAGTTTGACCAGCTGGAAATATAAAGTCCTACCGAAATGATGGAACAACAACAAAATCCTGTATGAGATCAAGGCCTTTTTTTTGTCTGTAAAAGCACAAAAATGGAGTATTTTGTGTTCTATTCTTTGGCACTTTGCTTGGTTGTTTTTGGAGTGGCAAAAGCTTTCTACTCCATTTGGTGGAGACCCAAATTGGTGGAGAGACAGTTGAAAAGACAAGGAGTTAGGGGCAGTGCCTACAAGCCTTTGGTTGGTGATGCCAAAGAGTATGTGAGCATGATCACTGAAGCATGGTCGACCCCCATGAATCTAGACCATCAGATCACTCAACGTGTCGATCCGTTCACTGCAGTGTATGCTAAAAAATATGGTATGTTGTACAGTACCGTGTCGTGTCGTGTCTAGTATTAGAATGAATCTATCGATCCATTCACGACAGTGTGCTAAAAAGTATGGTATGTTTGAACCGTGTTGTGTTGTGTCGTGTCTAGTATTAGAATGAAACTGTCGATCCATTCACATCAATGTATGCTAAAAAATATGGTATGTTGTATCATTTCATGTTGTGTTGTGTCTAGTATTAGAATGAATTTGTCGATCCATTCATGTCAGTGTAACATATGGTATGTTGTACCGTGTTGTGTTGTGTCTAGTATTAGAATGGATCTTAATTCTTCTGTCATTTATGTGTAGGAAAGTTATCGATGTGCTGGTTTGGGACAAGTCCGAGATTGATGGTGAAGGACCCCGAGATGATGAAAGAAGTACTATCAAACAAGGAGGGTAGCTTTGAGAAGCCACCGATGAACCCACTTATTCTGAAGCTGACCAAGGGATTAACTACTCTTAAAGGGGAGGAATGGGCTAAACACAGGAGGATCATCAATCCTGCTTTTCATCTGGAAAGGCTCAAGGTACATACACAGTTTAAGAATTCCTTGGCTAAGTTAATAAAGAGGCTAAACTAGAGTGGTGGAAGTTCAGAATATACTGATAATGTTTGGTTGATGAAGGGAATGATGCCAGCCTTCCAAATAAGCTGTAGCGACATGATAGAGCGCTGGAAGGAGATGGCTGGAAATCAAGAGAGTGTTGAAGTGGAGGTGTGGCCTGAAATTCAGAGACTAACAGCAGATGTTATATCCAGGGCAGCCTTTGGCTCCAACTTTGAAGAAGGGAAGAAACTTTTTGAACTTCTCAAACAACTCACTCTTTTTACTGTTGAAGCCATGCAGACCTTGTACCTTCCTGGTTTCAGGTTAAATTTTGCTTCCCCTTACCATCTATAATTTTCATGCCTTTTGAATGGCTGGGGTACGAATGATCAGTAAATGAACATAATTGTGAGTGCTTACAAGTTTGTTTGGTAATCCATGGATAGTGTATCTCTTAGCATTCGGATATTCTAGAGATAGATGGAGGTAGGAATTTATTGAACGAGCTCTATTCTTGGCGATATGTTAGGAGTCCATGGATGAGAGAAGGACTAGGAAAACCTTGAACTCGATTCCTTCCGTGATCAATATGGTCCCAATATACACGTCTTGAGAATATTTACTGTTTTGTTGAAGCTCAATCTCTCCCCAAATAAACTATATAGCCAAGAGAAACCAAAAACCATAATGGAATAGAAGTTGTCCCACCAGTGAGTGAATACTTTGTATAAGCAGAAGTATAGTTTTCAGACCGACCCAAGTTCTATAACAACAAAAAGAATCTGTAGCTAAAATTGTTGTGAAATCCAACCCCTTCATGATTGAATTGTGGCTTTGTGTATATGCAGATTTATTCCAACAGCTAAGAACAGGAGGAGAGAGAAGCTGAACAAGGAGATCAAGACCATAATAGAGAGTATAATTCTAAGAAAAGAAAATTCCATGAGCAACCAGGAAGAGAATGTTGATGACTTGTTATGCATGCTCTTGCAGTCGAGGAAGAAAGAAAATCAACATGAAGGTGATGGACTGACAACTGAGGAAGTGATCGAGGAGTGCAAGCAGTTCTACCTTGCAGGGCAGGAAACAACATCAAGCTTGATTACATGGACAGTCATCGTTTTGGCCATGCACTCAGAATGGCAAGAAAAGGCTAGACAAGAAGTCTTGCAAATTTGTGGGAAGAATGAACCAACTTTTCAAAATTTAAACCACTTAAAGATTGTGAGTTTTCGTTACACACTTAGCAATCTTCATCTATTGGTACAAGTTTTCTATAATTTTTCAAAAATCTAACAGATAAAAAAGGTTTTGATTCAATAAACAATACTCTGCAGGTTACCATGATACTTAATGAAGTCCTGAGGTTATACCCACCAGTTATTGCTCAATATCAACATACTTATGCAGAAACAAAGATAGGTGAAGTCTTAATACCTGCCGGGGTTGATGTTACCTTAGCTACGCTGCTTATTCACCACGATCCCGAGTACTGGGGAGATGATGCAGAAGAGTTCAAACCTGAGAGATTCTCCGCAGGAGTTTCAAAGGCAAGCAAAGATCAGTTGGCCTTCTTTCCCTTTGGCTGGGGACCTAGGACCTGCGTTGGACAAAATTTTGCTATGTTAGAAGCTAAGATCGCATTGGCTATGATTCTACAGAATTTCTCTTTTGAGCTCTCACCTTCTTACGCACATGCTCCTCATACTGTCATGACTCTTCAACCACAGCATGGAGCCCAGCTGAAAGTTCACCAACTATAGGCTGCATGCAAATGAAGTACTACATTCGAGTGATGAATGTTTTGAAATTTCATAAGCATAAGTAACTCAGCATATTACTTGGCCTAATGTTTGATAGCATCTCACCTATGTGACTATGTCAACCTAGAAAAATAAGAACGTAACCTATATTGGCAATGGATGCTTACTAAGGTAATGATGATGTATGACGTTCATGTTATGATGTTAAGATGCATTAAGAAAGGAGAACCAACAAGATATTTAAGTAGAATGAGATTTATTGTTCTTGTCAAAATTGTAGTTAATACAATCGATCTACTTGATCACATGAAAATTGTTCGTAATTAAATATCTAGGCACTAGGGGCTAAACAAGAGAGAAAATAGTCACTCTTCTGCTTTCACGAACCAGTGCATTTTTTTCTGCTGATATCGTTTGATGTTATTATATCCACTCGGGGCTTTGATGAAGAATATCACTCTCGTCAATATCTCTATGTCTAGGGGAAAATCCTGCCTTCAGAGAAAATAATTATAAATCCTCCATATTCTTTAACATTGACTCCACGTCTGGTGTTAAAATGGCACGCTTGCTAAGCTCCCCAATGATGCAGCAATACTTTCCTTCCACATTGATAGCTGCAACATCTTGTGCAAAGCCACAATGCATTCCAGAAGAAACCTACCCGTATTTCAAAATTGGTGTGAGAAGGAACACAAAATCCCAAAAGATTTCATCTAAGAATAGCCCTTCAATCAATAAGAATTAAGAACTTCCTACAACAGAAGTAGTTAAGTACTTTCATCAAGTGAAGAATTTCAGAAAACTGAGGCAGAGAGTCCATGCTTCTAATAAAAAATATTTCATCTCAAGAGATCATTCAAGTTGAAATGAGTAGAAACAACAGACTTGGCATGCTCATGTTTATGATTAAAAAATATACTCACATCATATATAATATCACCAAGCTTTAGCTTGACAGCACCGCTCCTATACACGAGCAATTTACCCATGGAGCCAGAAGGTAACTCATTCATAGAGCAGGTTTTCTGTCTAGGTTGTGATTCCGAGCTGTTGGCTGCCCCAATCCCTTCTACAGTAGAGGATTGCTTTATCACAGGCACCATAGGTGGTAATTGCAGAAAAAATATGTCTGTTTCTGGATTCTCCTCCTGCCAATCAACCATTAATTGTAAAAGTAGAAACAAAGAGACTCAAGCTATGCCACCTACTGAATCCAGTGACTAACCAATAGACCAAGATCCACTGCTGGAGTTGTTGTTCTTTCATCATAGCTTAAGGTTTCTGAACCCTCTCCAAATTCTTCCTCGTTAAGAGAATCTATGAAGTAATGCATAAAACTTAGAGCAGATAGTTGATGCAGAAGACGCAGGGACAGTTTTCATGGATGCAGGTGTAGTTTTCACCATGAAAACTGTACTCCAGAAGTGATAAGTATGGAAACCACACACGTAGAAGATAAAGTGCATTTCAGAATAATCCCGTTGTCCACTGCAATACTTTCCTTCTAGTTTTTGTAAATAAGATGAACTTACAAAGATACCTGGATTTCCTGAATATGGACTCCGCAAAGGAAGAGTTACAGGATAATAACTGTAATAATCCTGGAGAAAAATGAAAGTTGAAGTACTAAATTGACGTACTAATGGAGAAGACAGATGCAAATGGGAAACGCAAAAGAAAAATAATTGATGATTTGTATGTTTGTACGTTTTACTGACCCATGGTTCTACATACTCCTTACTCGTAGTAGACGGAAGTGATCCATCTGCATAATCACTTTTTCAGTTTAGTGCATTGAAAGCCTCTCACGGGCAGTAAATCAAGAAAGTACATTTTGACTAGCGTAGAATTTAGTAATTTAGTAGCCAACCTTCATTTCCGAGTCTATTTCCAGCTTTTGAAATACCAAATGATCTTATGGTGTTTGATGTACCTCCAGAACCAAATGCAACTTGTGTAGGTGCCGCTGCATATTAATATAATGAAATGCAAATGAAACCAAGACGTGTTAAAAGAACTAAAAATCTTTAATCATAGTACTAATAAATTTCAATTGGATGTAAGGTTCATTAACAGACAGAAGTTCACCACATTTCCCCTGAGGTAGAAGAGTTGGAACAAGCTGCATGATGCATAATTGATATGTCAAATCATATTATCAGAACTCCACAGATCATTCTACAACTTATACACTCATGATATGTTTAATTAACTTAATATGGGGTCTCTTTTGGTTTCGCAAATGGTAGAAATTTCTAATATAGAACTGCTTTGCTCCACGCACATGGTTCCAATGTCAAGAAAAGTAAAGCATATTACCATTTTTCACAACCTCAAAGTGTTTCTAAGACATTCGTGCTAGGAAGAAAGATCCTATGTAAAATTGCCTAAGATATTCAAATCTTTAGACATAATTTCAATCATGCATGTACAAATAGATAAACACATAATTACATATAAATATATCTATCTATCTATCTATCTATCTAGATAGATAGATAGATACTAGTAACAAATTCGTATATCATGACTAATAGATGACAAAAGAAATAATTTTTTTTTGATAGCCGACTACAATCCTCAAGGGATTAAAAGAAGAATGCTCAAGAACTAGCACCATACGAATAACCTTTCAGATCCAATCTAAAACAGTATTAAGATTAATAGATTAAAATTTAAAATTATGTACTAAATAATGAAAGCTCAAAACCAGAACAAAAATTAATCTAGTTTATGGAACGCACCTTTTTTCCCAATTCTTTGCCTTGCCCTTAGGGTGCTTTCCTGCAATAAGACATCAAGAAATTAAAGTGATAAACAGAGAGCGAGAATGTATAACAACTAGTTATTCTAAAAGCTCAAGAGTGCAGGCAACAGAAAATAAATGAAAGCAGGCATACATTGAAGCGTTTAAGTAAATCCCTGGCTTGAGCAGCATCAGCGTCCTCTGCTATTTCTCTACATAAAACAAATACACATTTTGACTGCAGCAGAAATTTGGAATAATTAGGGGCAATGCTATACTTAAAAGCGGTGTGCTTACTCTTTGACTTCAGGTTTTGGTATACGACGAGGAGGTGCTTTTGGAGCAAATTTCATCTGCAGCAGACCATTTCATCAGTTCAAAATAAAAATTTTAAACTCTTCAAACAGAAATATAGATGGGAAAGCCAGAACAAACCTTCCTTTGACCAGCTGTACTGTTTTTGAGCAGATCGTTCTCCATGGCTATTAGTAGTCAAATCTTCGTCCAAAACTGAAAAGAAAAAATAATGATCACTTACAATTAATTGTCAAATGCCCAAGTCTTATCACGTCTTTATCTTAAAATGGCTTTATCGACCTAATTAAATTGCACAGTGAATGCAACTAGGATAACACTATAATTAGAATAATATCGTCCATGAGGAAGAATGAAGGATATTGTTTCCATTCTCAAATGCCACTTGAAATTCGATCCATAAACTTCACTACTTCAGCCGTGAACTCTTATGTGGACGAAGTTTTCATTTAGGGATCATTTCGCTTCAATCAGAAGCTTCGAGCATGCTAGGAAAAAACATTACACGACAATATTTTTGAGCTAGAATATTAAAATTCACTTCATAAAAGCAACGAGAACAATAGCCAGCAGAAAAGGCCATCCACAAAATCTGCTACTTGGGATGTTAAACCAAAAACCATAGTCTAGTTATATACACATCAATCGATTTGGATCACACAACGAACATTCTCATAATCCAGGATGCCGACATACTTCAAACGAATCAACAAGAGTTAAACAGTATCCCATTCTAACTCCAAAAGAAGATACTCCACCGGATCAAAAACTGTCAAGTTATCTTAGCCATATTATCTTGGCGGATCAAATGCTAATTGGTGAATACGGATATCATCAAATCACGAATAAGAGGCCAGATTCATGGAAAACACAATTTGCACGCATGATTGAGCAACGCAATCGTTATGCATTGAACAAATGCATTCCCGACAAGCACACAAGTAATGAGTGAGAGAGATATTGAATCAGTCATTAGAACTTCAACGATCAAATGCAAATCCAATACAAAAGAGAAAGCAAAAACTATTATTCATAGCGTGAGTTGACGCGAATATACAGGCAGATATACAGGGAAGCGAGAAGAAAGGAGAAAAAAATGGCGGCAGAAGCTTTTACCTGTTGTGAGAGTGAAAGAGACGCACCACGGCTGCAGCTTAACGTGACGGAGGTGGCCGCTTAGGAAATAATAACTTATATGCCTTGGTGTTAAGAAACCTAGACAAAAATTAATTTTATTTTCTAGTATTTTAATAATATTAAAACTTTAAATAATATTAACGCATAAATATTCCACTAAAAAAATTATAGATTTTTATCTAAATTTTAAAAAATAAATATTTACTTTATTTATTTATTTTGAATTTAAATATTTCTCGGGTTTTTTTTCGATACTCTTTTACATTGTTACTATAACACTCGAGTAAAAAAAAGTACATAAATTAACTGATATGTTACTATAGTATTTTAAAAATATAAATTATACCAAAAATAACTAGAAAGGTAATTTTTCCTTCTATAAATATATATTTTAGCTGGTGCAATTTTATCCGATCATTTTTTTTTACGTGATAAATATTTAAATTCAAAATAAATAAATAAAAGTAAGAATTTGACGTTGACTCCAACCTTGGTCCAATTTGGTTCTCGAGATAACTACATAGATTTATATAAATATACATTGGTTATGTTTTTTATCACAAAAGTCCTCGAGTCCTTGCATCTTTTAACACGTTAAAATTAAAATAAGGTAGAATAATTGCCGTTTTATTCCGACACTCAAACGTAATCGTACAACCGTGCATGAAAAACAAACATTTATCTATACACGAGTGTAAGTGCAAAATATAATAGCATATATACATGAAACACATGCAAACGTTTGACATAAACAACGTTATTATAATATACTACGATAATATATTTGTGTATATATAACTAAAACATACCTGACATATTTTTATAACCTTAACATATCATGTGTAATACGATTTTATTCAATAACTTAATATTATATTTATTAAAATTACTTATTTATGCAAAAAAACAAAAAATTTATTAATGATTGGACAATAAATTAATATGATAGATTAATTTTGGAAGCAAATTAAATTACATAAATATTTTCCCATTTTAATAAAAATAAAAATGTTGGAAATAAATATAATTAAATCGAGTATTTAAAAATAAATGTAATTAAGAAAATAAGTAATCATTTAAAATTAAATTAATTTAAACTGCGATGAAAGATTAAATTAAATTAAAAAATCTTATAATTATTACAACATATTCTTATAAAATAATTAAAATGTAGTGTAATGATAAGCTACAAAAGAGAACCACATTTTATAATTATTTTAATTTAATTATATTTAAATCAGTTTTCTTACTTAAATAATCTTATTTTATTAAAAAAAAAAAACATGCCGAATTATTGATACGTAAAAAAAGTCTTATTTTAGTATGAATTTGTTTTTTTTTTTAATATTTAATATTTATGAGCATAAAGTTGGCGCGGGTTTTAAATTAAAGGTGTGCCAGGGTGGAGCCTAGTCATTGGCCCGCAGGATTTTAAATATTTAAAACCCGCGCCACGTCTTGTCCACTTTCCATTAGCGGTTTCTTGCCTGTGCGTTTTCCAAATACTCCAAATAAAAAATAAAATTAAAATATAAACATAGCCACGTGGAGAATCAACCGCCCAACTCAAGGCACGTGAAAAAAGTAAGGGTTAAAAATATAATTTTAATTTATGCATTTTTCTTTATCTTTACATAATATCTAATTTATTGTTTAAAACATTATTTAAAATATTTATATTTTATAACTAAAAATTACATTTTAATCTTAATCCCAACCTGACACTTTTTATTGGATATCAATTTTATTTATAAATTATAAAAATTAAATTATTATTATTAAATCATTGTCACTTTAAATTTATATTATATTAAATTATTACAAATTAAAATAATATTTCTCTTTCTTTTTCTTTTTGTCTTAATTATTTACCGTCGTGATACTCGAATATGAATGAACAGATATTAATAAGAATTATATTTAAAAACGTGATGATTAAGAAATATTTAAAAAAATTAATAATTATATATATATATATATCAATAATATCTACTTTCATTTTCGGTAGCTCGATCATAAAAGCTCTCATATAAGGCGGTAAAAATTGGTAGACATTTAGGTAATTTTCATACCCACACGTTTTATATATATATATATATATATATGTAAATAATGTATATTTTCATTTTTGGTAGCTCGATCATAGAAATTCTCATTATAAGGCAGTAAAATTGGTAGGCATTTAAGTAATTTTAACACCCACCCGTTATATATATATTAACACTATGTACTTTTATTTTCGGTAGCTCGATCATAAAAACTCTCATATAAGGCGGTAAAAATGGGTAGGCATTAAGGTAATTTTCACACCCACACGTTTCCGAATTTTGTTTCTATTTTCTAGATTTGGCGCATATTTCAAATCAGAATAATCCGAAAAAAAAAAAACACCAAAATACCGATGTGCCCTATGAACCAAAATTCAGCAGAGAGAAACAGAGACGCGAGTTTTTCCGGCGAGCAATTCTGGGCTTTTCTTCCCCTCCTCCGCTCGCCCTGCTTTGGCGTTTCCAAGGAAAACCATGGCTTGTGTGCACATACCGGTGCGGAACTCGGAGGAGGAGGTCAGGATAGCTCTTGATCAACTCCCAAGGGACGCTTCCGAGATTCTCGATATACTCAAGGCCGAGCAAGCTCCGTTGGATCTCTGGCTAATCATTGCGGTTCGTTTTACTCGCTACACATGAAATGAGATACATCTTTATGCTCGATTTTAGCTCCCTTCCCTTGCACATCTCGTGACGTTGAATCCTGTCGCAAGAATTGTTTTCTGTTCGTAATACCTAATTACAAATTTTTGTGTGTAATATGCGTAATGGGTGAAGTTGATGCAGTATTGTTCTTGTATATTACTAATAATTACTCAGGGACGAGGCGGTGACCGAATTCTCTGTGCGTGCGTGCGTGTTTTTTTTTTCTTTTTGCGGAGATTTTAATGTAACGAGCTCTTTTTAAGTTGTTGATTATGGGAGTGGAACCAAAAATATCTTGTTTCTAACTACAATTTTGGTCAGGGATGAAAAATTTGATTGATGAGTGCTTTAGGTTTACATTTGAGTAACTGTGCAAACTAGATTGTCATAAGTTAGAACTTCACATACCTACTGTGCAAACTAGTTGGTGATTGTATAATAAAGAGCTTAGAGGAAATAAATTCAATCCATGGTGGCCACCTATTTAGGATTTAATATCTTACAGGTTTTTTTGGCACCCAAATGTTGAAGGGTTAACGAGATATCCTGTGAGATTAGTCGAGAGGTGTGCAAGGTCGTTGGAAAAAAATCTTGGTGACTGTGCAAGCTTTGAGATGAGCTTAGCTCTTGTTGGTACAGATATGTATAAGTATTTCCTATTCTAACGTCCTTCCCAATATATTAGAGGGTTTACTAAAACTTCATGTCACTAGGTTTTTTATGACCACTTAAATCTTTTATACCTATTATGGGGCTGTCAGTTTGTCCAGTCTCCTTGGTTCATTGGTTTTACTTTTGCCTTATATGGTATTATTGAGGAGTTGCTCCTGAGTTCGCCTTTTTGGGAGGAAGGAATTTTTTTGTGGCAAGCTAGTTTTTTTTTTTTGTTTGTTTGTTTGTTATTTTGTGAGAAGCTTGACTCAAGAGAAACGATGAGATTTTTAGAGAGGAGGAGAGGTCATGTGTTGAAGTTTAGGAGGTGGTGAGGTTTAATGTATCTCTGTGGGCATTTGTCCCTGGGTTTTTTTTTTTTACTTTTTTTTATCGTAAATATGAACTTAGTTTTGATTTATTGGATCGAAGTCCCCTTTTGTAGTTTCCTTTTGTACTTTCAGTTTGTTCACTCCACCAACTACCAATTTTTTCTTCTCTTGACATTACTTATTGGTTCAATGCTATATTATTTAGTATGGGATTCTTTTTACCCGTTTAATATATTGAATTGCTGCGAATATCTTGCATTTCATATACATTTAATTTTAGTTTAAGTATAATTTCCATCATTTTCTTTGCCTATGTTTTATGCTGTCCCAATGATGATGGGCTATAATGAGAAAATTGCTACTTCAAGATCAATTATAACTTCCTATCAAACTTAGAAGTTCGTGCCTTTTATGAAAAACTATTCGTTTTGACCTTGCTATGATCTGAGTATATATTTCTTGAGGTTTCTTTTATCATGTATTATGTTAGTGTCTGAGTTTCCATGTACCATTTCGTTGACACGTCCCAGAGGGAATACTTCAAGCAAGGAAAACTGGAACAATTCCGTCAAATTCTGGAAGAAGGGTCTAGTCCAGGTATTGGCTTCTTTTCAAATGTTGGAATTTGGGTTATTTTTATTTTTATTTTGCTAAATGTAATACCTTAATCAGTTGAATGCTACTTGATAGAATATTCAGGCTCATAGCCTACATAGTTTTCCAATCTTAACTCACCTTTTGTAATTTTGTTATTGTTGCAGATATTGATGAGTTCTATGCTAATGTTAGATATGAAAGAATCGCAATCTTAAATGCCTTGGGTGCTTACTACCACTATCTTGGAAAAATTGAGACAAAACAACGAGAAAAAGAAGAACATTTCACTTTGGCTACACAATATTACAACAAAGCGTCAAGAGTTGACATTCACGAGCCTTCAACTTGGGTTGGAAAAGGTTAACTTTTCTAGTAATTTTTTTTTTGTTTTAAGCTTAATTTTATGTTATGACATTAAAATTAAACATAAATGATGATCTTTTGCTATCTGTCTTAAACTGCTTATGAACATCCTTTGTTTATGTCTTTTCGATTAGTCTTTGAAGCATGCTTGGAACTAAAACACTTGAAATGTTCACAGGTCAGCTTTTATTGACCAAAGGGGAAGTTGAACAGGCATTTGCTGCATTCAAGATTGTTTTAGATGGAGATCGTGACAATGTTCCTGCCCTTCTAGGTCAAGTACGCCCAAAATCTTTCACCTGACTCATTTGGTAACTCTAGATCATGGAAAAGAAGGTGCCATCTAGAAGATGATAACCTTTTTGGTCCCTTGATTATAAATTTATTCTTTAGTAGTACTTGATTTTGGAGTGGCTTTCTCCCAAAGAT